ATGTAGGGGACAGATGAAAGAATCTGTGAACTTGAAGACAGGACAATAGAAATTACCCAATCTAAATAACAGAGAGAAAATAAACTTAAAAAAAAAAAAAAAAGAAAGAAAACGAATATAGCCTCAAGGAACTCCAGGATTATAACAAAAGATCTAACATTGGTGTCCCAGCAGGAAAGGAGAAAGAGGTTAGGGCTAAAAAAAAGTACTCAAAGAAATGGCTGGGAAAAAAAATCCCCAATTTTGTAAAAGACATAAACCTACAGAGTCATAAAGTTGAATGAGTCTCCGAATAGTATAAACCCAAAGAAATCCATACTAAGACACAACATAGTCAAACTTTTAGAAACTAAAGTCAAAGAAAAAATCTTGGAAGCAGTGAGAGAAAAACAGCACCTTAACTGTAATACAAATGACAGTGAATTTTGCATCAGAAACCATGGAGCTAGACGAAGGTGGCACATTTTTCAAGTGCTGAAAGTAAAGAACTGTCAACTCAGAAGTCTACATGTAGCAAAAATGTACCTTGGGAACAAAGAGGAAATCAAGACATCCTCAGATGAAGGAAAACTAAAAAAACTTACTGCCAGCAGACTCTCCCTAAAAGAGTGGCTATAGGAAGTTCTCCAAACAGAAAATACATAAAAAGAAGAAAATTTTGAACATCAGGCAGGAAGAATGAAAAATGAAAAGGGAAATTTTACTTCTCCTCTTCAATTTTCTAAGCTTTGTTTGATGGTTGATATGATCTTGTGTGGTTCTAAATGTATATAGAGGAAATCTTTAAGACAATTATATTATAAATGGGGGAAGGTAAAGGAACATAAAGGGAGCTGAGATTTCTATGCTTCACTCAAAATGGTAAATATCAACACAAGTAGACTGATTAGTTATGTATATATAAGGTAAGACCTTGAGGAACCATTAAAAAAGCTATATAGAGAGATACACTCAAAATCACTATAGATAAGTAAAAATGGAATTATTAAAAATGTTCAAGTAACCCATAGGAAAGCAAGAGAAAAAAAAAAAGAGAAACAAAAAACAGAGAATAAACAGAAAACAAAACAAAATAAGTTGGCAGGCTTAAGATATAATATATCAATAATCACATTAAATGTATGTGTTCTAAATACACCATTAAGTCAGAGATTGGCAGAGTGGATTTAGAAAACATGACCCAACTATATGCTGTCTACAAGAAACTCGCTTCAAATATAATGAGATAGCTAGGTTGAAAGTAAAAGGATGGAAAACATATATCATGCAAACATTAATCAAAAGAAAGCAGGACTGGCTATATTAATATTAAATAAAGTAGACTCAGAGCAAAGAAAAACTACCAGAGATGGACATTAAATAATGATAAAAGGGTCAGTCCACCAAGAAGACATAGCAGTCCTAAATGTGTATGCACTAAACAACACAGCTGCGAAATCTGTGAAGGAAAAATTAATGTAACTGAAAGGAGAAATAGGCAAATCCACAATTATACTTAGAGATTTCAACAGGCTTCTCTCAAAAATTAATAGAACACTAAACAGAAAATCAACAAAGATTTAGGAGAACTCAACAACACCATCAACCAGTAGGATCTAATTGACGCTTATAGAAGACTCCATCCAATAATAGGAGAATACACATTCTTTCTAAATGTTCATACACATATACCAAGATAGACCATATCCTGGACCATAAAACAAAATTCAACAAATTATTAAAAATTGAAATCATATAGAGTGTGTTCTCTGGCCACAATAAAATCAAACCAAGATAACGGGAAAACTTCCAAACACTTAGGAACTAAACAATATCCTTTTAATTAATCCATGGGTTATAGAGGAAGTCTCAAGGAAGATTTAAGAATGCATTGAACTGAAGAAAATGAAAATACAATGTATCAAAATTTGTGGGACACAGAAAAAGCAGAACTGAGAGGGAAATTTATAGTACTGAATGTTTACTTTAGAAAAGAGAAAATGTTTCAAATCAGTAATAAGAGCTCCCACTCCAACATTCATAGGCAAAAAAAAAAAAAAAAAAAAAAAAATCCTTGGTCTAAATTTCATACCTTTTACAAAAATGAATTCAAAGTGGATCACAAACTTAAATATAAAATGTAAAACTATGAAACTTTTAGGAAAAAAAAAGATGAAAGCAAATACAAATTTAAAAAAAAAAAGAAAATAGGAGTGAATCTTTGGGGATCCAGGGCTGGGTAAAAGGTCTTAAACTTGACATCAAAGCTTAAAAGGAAAAATTGATCAATTGGATTTCATCAAAATTAAAAACTTTTGCTCTGGGAAAGACCCTGCTAAGAGGTTGAAAAGACAAGACACAGACTAGGAGAAAATATCTGAAAACCACATATCTGATAAAGGACTAATATATAGGATATATAATGAGCTCTCAAAACTCAGCAGTAAACAGCAACAAAACAATCCAAGTAGAAAGTGGGCAAAAATTATGAACTGACATTTTGCTGAGGATATATAGATAACAAATAAACAAATGTAAAGTTGTTTAACACCATTAGTTGTTAGAGAAATGCAAATTAATGCTACAATGAGATATTACCACATATTTATCAAAATAGCTAAAACAAAAAAGTGACACCATCAAACACTGGTGAGGATTCAGAGAAACTCATACATTGCTAGCAGGAGTATTATTCAACAATCTAAAGTAACAAACTGTTAATACATGAACAACTTGGATGATTCTCCAGAAAACTACACTGAGTGAAAAATCCAATCCTGAACATACATATTGTATGATTTTAATTAATTAATTAATTAATTTTTGGTGGCTGGCTGGTATGGAGATCTGAACCCTTGATCTTGGTGTTACAACACCATGCTCCTGGCTCAAATCCCACCAGCCTATCATCCCAGAAGAAAGATGAGCCCTGTCTCCCAGTAGATTTTGCTAAAGTCCTGGGATTGTATCTCCTGAGCCTGACTTGGGTCACATGCCCACCCCTGAACCAATGACTATGACTGGAGGGAAGCAGTACTCTCATTGGCCAGGCCCAGATCATGTGCTGACCCTGAGAGGCCAGGGGTGGGGCCAGCCCCACACAAACCACATGGCTTGAGTAGGGGGGAGAAACAACCCATTTGCAGAATTCGGTGCTGTTACAAGAAAGAAAAACGGATACTGGTCAAGCAAAACCAACATACTCATGGAGTCCCAGAAAAAGCCTGCATCTCCATTCTCTACCCTCATACTCTAAGTTCCCATCATGCTTGTACAGAGACATCCCAGATTGAACTAGTATCTTCAGCTTCATTGCTCAGGAGAGAGTATCTGATTGTACCAGCTTTTGTCAGATGTTCAGCTCTTGTCCGGTCACTTATGAATAGAGGGGTGGGTCATGTGCTGGACCTTTTGGTGGACAAGGAAGTTTTTTGATGGGCTAGGCTAACACCCCAAAACTATTTATTACAGATACTCAGCACTTCTGAAAGATCTAAATTAGTTCTGTACTACGAAAGAATCAGAGGAATCTATTAATAGGTTTGGCATAAAAGGAAACAGGTGATTATTAAAGATCCATTTGAGAAAGGCTGAATCCTCAGATTTTCCCTTGCTTTCTCCTGGGGTGAACTGAGATTGAAAAGGAAGAGCAGCAGGTGCACGAGGTGGGTGGTACTGACCATGGGGAACACAGGAGTGACAATGGCCAGAGACCGGCTGGGTGGGCTGGCAGCAGTAGGGACCTGGAGCTGACAGGCAGTGCAGAGTTAGAAAAGCAAAACTGATCCCTTGCTTTGGAGGGAAGCAGTTACAAAGGCCAAGATTGGGCGACAGAGACCCAGAAACCAGGCCAGGTGTAACTGGAGCCAGGCAAGTAACCCCACTCCTGGTACTAAACATGAATGCACAGCATCAGACATATCTAGAACTGGAACTTGGCTAGCTGAGTCTCCTAGCTCCACCCCCTTCCTTCCCTTCCTTCCGGATATGGATAGGACAGATTCTCCAGCTTTGGGCAAGGCTCAGCATACACATCAGGTGAGGGCAGCCAAGAGTCCCAGATGTAGAGGGAAAGTGTGGAGTAGAGAGCTAAGCAGGTTGTTATAACTTAGTTTCTCAGTGGGGAGAGCTTGCAAACCAAATCATATATGAGGGTACTTAAAAAAAGTTCGTGGAAAAATAGAATTGAAAGAAAATATGAATCTTTCCATGAACTTTTTGAAGTGCTCTCATGGAAGTGGGTAATAAGAATGTGAGTAATAGTCGTTATAATAATGATAGCTACCTTTCTTGAGTACCTACTATGTGCCAGACACTATTCTAAGATGGTTTTAATGGACCATCTCCTTTGATCCTTGCAAAAACACTGAGGTAATGTTATGTTTATTAAAATGGATGTGAGGAATATGAGAGGAGTTAGGCATCTTGCCCAGGGTCGCAAGTAATTTAACGTTCATAAAACACAAGCTTTTAGGATAGTGGGTCCCTATTTCCTCCTTTATCATCAACTCCAACTTTTCTCCTCATGCATCCTCACTCCAGCATTCCAAACCTCCCACGGCTTGTGGAATGCTCCCGACTCTCATTCTTCCATGCCTTTATAACCACTATTCCCTTCTCCTGGAGTGCCCTATGCCCCGGTCAATTCCCACTCATCCGGCCACACCCAGATAAGCATTGTTCTGTTTGGGGTAATGTTCCCTGATACCAGCCCCCTTGGACTTGCTCTCTTTTTGCCTCCTGATAATGAATCCATTCATCCACTCATCTGTCCATTCATCCATCGGTGAGTGGATGAACACAGTCATGTCTGCATCACGATGTACAGATAATTCCCTCTCTCCCACACCAGACTGTGAATGGGTCAGGAACCAAGTCTTATTCTTCTCCAAGGCAGTACCTGCTCAGGGTCTGGCCCAGAGGAGGCAGCCATGCAGGGATGAATGAACATTTGGTGGGGGGAGGATTTCCTGCCCCCTGTCCACCCTCACCACGGCATCTCTCTCCTGGTCTCTTGGCAGCCTGGCGTGGGGCTCCTTTACCTGCTGCATGGCAGCCTCTGTCACCACGCTCAACTCCTACACCAAGACGGTCATTGAGTTCCGGCACAAGCGCAAGGTCTTTGAGCAGGGCTACCGGGAGGAGCCGACCTTCATAGACCCTGAGGCCATCAAGTACTTCCGGGAGAGGTCAGTGCACATGGGGTTAACTCTGGCCCCCACTGGGAATCTGAAGCCCAAGTCCTGACTCAGTGGCCACAGGCCCTAGGCAAAACTGGAGTGGTCTGATGGAGTGAGAGGTGTTCTGGGGGGCTGTAGGGTGGAGGGGATGGCCCCCACTGGGAATCTGAAGCCCAAGTCCTGACTCAGTGGCCACAGGCCCTAGGCAAAAACTGGAGTGGTCTGATGGAGTGAGAGGTGTTCTGGGGGGCTGTAGGGTGGAGGGGGCAGGCTGGGTGAGGCAGAGTTTGGACTCCACTGTGTTGGAATTTCTGGGACACTTTGGTATTTTATGGGCATGAGGTTGCCTTGGGCTTATGTGATCAGAGTGTGAGAAACCCAGAAGGGAATCAAGTGTTTGCCATTTGCCCTCATGATACTTAGAACCATGATAAAGAGGCTGAACCAAGGTTTCCTTCTTGAGCTCTGTCACAGCACTGAGTGAAAAGAGGACGCAGCAGTGGGACTGGTGATGGCTGCTGGAGGAGGATGGCTCCTCGAGGCCAGGGACTACATCTGATCACCTGAGTCTTCAGAGTCCATCTGGGAACAGAGGAGGTGACAATAAATGGTGGGCAGATGGATGAATGAGTAGATGGATAGATGGATGGATAGGTGAATAGATGGATGGATGGATGGATGAACAGGTGAAAGAATGGATGGGTGGATGAATGGATGGATAGATGGATGGATGAATGATTGGGTGGGTGAGTAAGTAGATAGGCAGAGGGGTGGGTGAGTAGGTGGGTACATTAATGGATGGGTGGATGGATAGAGGGAGGGAGGGAGGGAGGGATGAGTGGAAGGACTGACAGGCAGATGGCTGTCTGGGTGGATGTCAGGATTTCAGAATCTGGAGATACTCTTAGGCAGAACTCCTCCCAGACACCTTCTGATGGAGCCATTCAGAACATCAGCAGCCTGAAATCTGGGATTTCTGCACCTTCCCTGCAGGGAGTGAGTTCAATGGTTCGCTGTATCCACCCCACTCTCTACTGCTGTCCTCCTGGCTCCATCCAGAGCCGCTCCTATGGACAACTACCATGACCACTCCCCAGTTTAGTGCCAACCTCCAATCCATTAGCTGCCCTAGTCTCTTTTGGGCTGAGAGGGGGCTGCCTTTCTCAGCACATCCCACATCCCTAGAGCAGATGCATCCGTGTGTGTGGCAGGCTCACACCATCACACACTATGCTGCTCTCTGAGCTCCGTCCGTGGCAGCAGAGACGGGACAGAGCTGCTCTGACTCATGTCCCAGCCATACTCCAGCTTGTCCTGCCTGGGCCCCTGTACCTGTAGCGCCCAAGAATGGCAGATCTGGGCCTGGGGTCCCCATGCTCCCAGCTTCTCCTCTTGAGAGAGAGAGAACAGCAGCCCTAGGCCGGAGTCAACCATCACGACTTCCATTTGTGGTGGACTAGCTGGGCCCTGTGCCCCAGGCATTCATTTCATCCCCAAGACCTCTCTATGCAATTAGTACTATTAGTCTCATTTTACAGATAAGAAAAACAGAGGTTCAGAAGAGTTAAGATGCTTATGTAAGGTTGCACAGTGATGGAGACGGAGTTGAGCTCCAGATTGAAGAAAGTCAGAGCTGGCAATGCCCACAAAGATCAAGCCACCCAGATGGAAGAAGCAGAGCCAGGATCAGACCTAGGCAGCCACTCGAGTCCACGCAGGTGCTGTGATGCCCTGGACAGATCTGCTTGGCACTCATGGTTCGCGTGCAGGCTGGGGGCTTCTTGCTGCAAGTATGTGTGACTCTCAGTGGGAGGGCTGTCTCTGACCCTTGAGTCTGCTTTGTCCAACGTGTGGGGCTTACCAGAATGTGCAGGGGACTGATGCTGTCTAGAGTTGGTGGATGAAGACCCCAGCTTCCCACCCTTGGGTGAGCCAGTGCTGGGCCAAGCTCTGTCCTGACCCCCCTGCCCCCCGGGGTCTCCAGCGGAACTGAACTGCAGGGGCGCTCTGCAGGAACCTGCCATTAACACCCCCTTACTGGCTCTTTCCCTTTCCTGTCTCCCTTCCCCTCTCCCCTGCCCATATGTCCTGGGATCACATCCCAGATAAACTACCTATCCCCAAATCCTTGTCACAGAGTCCACTTCTGGGGGAGCTGACACACAGGAATGCCTTGCAGAGGCAGGAACTGGAAGGGCCTCAGGGCCATGACAGTCAGAGTCTGAGGAGGAAGAAAGATGCAGGAGGCTGGGGGCCGGCAGCCCGGAGGAGCTGGACTGTCCATGGGGCACAGGGGAGTGCTTCAGACAGAGGAGTGGCATGGTGGGCTATGGGGTCCCTATGGAGCCCCACTCTTACTGCTAAAGACGCCTCCCTCAGACTGGCACAGGCCTTCCTCTGCCACGTGGACCTCCTTTCTTTCCCTGAACACTCCGAGCTCATCCCCACCTCAGGGCCTTTGTACCTGCCTTGGACGCTCACCTGGCTGGCTCTCTTGGGCCTCAGCTCAGCTGTCACCTGTTCCGTGAGGCTTTCCCTAGTCACTTGGTCTAAATTTGCACACACACACACCCCCCACCCTGTCCTGGTCACTCTTGATCCCTTTACTGTTTCTTCATAGCACCTGCCACAACCTGACATTTCTTTATAAGTTTATTTGTTTGCCAGTTTGTAGAAAGTGAGCCCCGTGACAGAGGCCTTTGCTGTCTCATCCCCACTGCATCCGAGCACCTGGAATTGTGCCGGGCACCTGATAGGTGTTCATTGGAGGCTTTTTGGTGATTGACTGGATTCTGTTCTTTGGAGCTCTTCATGCCCTTTCAGCCCCAGTGACCCATCACCTCACTGATTCCGCATCCTAGTGCCCCCGTGCCGAAGTCCCAGGAGTAGTCAGTGGTGTCTGGGGAGGCCTGGCTAACCTGGCACCTGGGCTCACCTTGCCCAAGGCTGTGAAAGGTGGTAAGGTCCTGCATGACATGGGGTCCAGAGCAGGTATTCAGTACATGGCTATTGCAGGTACATATACAGCCTGATGGCTGAGACTGCCCCATAACACTGTAGCCAGCTGTCACCTCGGCTACGGGAGATCTACCTCCTGGGGCATCTGAGGGTACAGCGCACCTTGTTTTGCTGAGGCAGAAGACAGGTCTCTCCGTGCCCCATCAGCGAGAAGCTGCTGTTTGCTGGTGCCCCAGTTCCAGCAGTCCCTCACAGCTCAGGGCCCAAGACGAACGCTTCCCAGCATATGCACAGAGGCATTTTGCACATTCATAACTTGAACATTATGCAGAGGTTCATCAAATTTTATTTCCTTTCCCCTCCAAGGAGAGCATTTCAGCTTAGCTGGGTTGTTTGTGTGTGTGTGTGTCTTCCCTACAAAGAGCTCAGAGCACATAGATCCATGCACAGGTTTGTTGGGCAGCTCAGCTCTTGCAGTGGCAAGCGTCCCTGAAACCACAGCCAGGGACATGGGGGAAGGAGGTCTATGGCCCCACTTGTCCCCGTTTCCTACTTGCCAGGGGACAGCAAGTACTACAGAAAGGGCAGGAGTTTAGAGGCCCCCAGATCTAAGTAAGTTTTCCAGGTCTATCCCTTCACTGCTGTGTGACTTAGGGTAAGGCATTGAGTTTCTTTGGTCCGGTTTCCTCTGACTCATGATGAGAGAGTCCAGAGCTCTCGGGGTCTCAGGAAGGCTCAAATTTGATAACCCACATGACATGCTGGATACAGTGCCTGGCACATGGCAGGCTTCGTGTGTGTGAGTTCCTATCTCTTGTTCTACTGATGTCCTTGCCAGACTCTTGCTTAGGACAGAGATGGCAATGGTGTTTTAGATGTACTGCTAGTAATCATGTTGTTGTGTCTTACCCTGCATCAGGCACTCCTTTAAAAGCCTTAGGTGTGACTCAGTTCCTTTCCACAACAGCCCTATGAGGTATAGGTATTACAGTTGTCCCCATTTTACAGATGCAAATTGAGGCACAGAGAAGTGAAGTGAAGCTACTCTGAGGTCACACAGCTGTTAAGTGCCAGAGCTGGGATTTGAACCCAGGCCATAGTCAGTCACTGTGCTGTGCAGCCTCTCAGGCTTGGTCAGTTCAGTAGCCTCTGCCCAGCACTGACGTGGGACCTGGGCACCTGGGGGTGGCGAGGGAGTCCCACGGCTGAGCAGCTCACAGTGTGAGGGCAGGTGAGCTGGTGCTTGGGGGTCTGAGATGATGCATGCCAACGCACGGGGCACATGGTCTCCCTGCTCCCCCACTCCTATTAGCGGGAGAGGTATATGTGTGTCCCACCTCTTCCGTGACCCTCTTGCTGTCCTCCTGGGGACTGGGGACAAGGTGGTGACCTATGCGGGCTGGTGGACAGGAAGGGCTTGAACTGCCCCACCCCTACCCCTACTCCCACACAGGTCCTGTTGGGTTTTTCTCTGCAAGAGCCTTTTGCAGGTCTGAGGCATGGTTAGGCACATTCTGAATGGTTCTCAGGGCTTTTGCAATGTGGGCGTGTGCAGAAGAAAGGTGTGTGCATGTGCCATGCACGTGTGTGTGCCCGTGTGCACGTGCTCACGTGGAGGGGCCAGTATGCACGTGTGCTGGGTCTGGGGGGAGAGAGAGCCTACACACCCTCACCCCGAGCAGCCTCACCTGTCCCAGCTCTGAGAAACCTCTGGAATTAAACCCTCCCAGTGTCACCCTGCCTATTGTCCCCAAGGAGGGCGTCTTAATAGGGCCTCTCGAGGGGAGGGCCCGGAAGCTGCTGAATGAGAGGTAAATATTTGCAGATCGGGGCTTTCTTGAATACTTAATGTTCATATCTGGCTTAACAATGTGTGGAAGAAAATGAGACCTGTTGGGTTGGACTCCGGAGGGAATTTAGCCGACAAACATCCTGCCTCACTGGGGAAGCGGCAGCGTGGGGGCGGGCAGAGGCCCCAGAGCTTCCTGGCGGGGCTGCTCCCGCTCCTCCGCTCCTCCGGGCTGCCTCCTTTCCCCGGCTCTCCCCGCACC